ATAATATTATAAAAAATCTCTTTATTTTTATATTTTTAAAAAATAAAAATAAAAATAAAAAGGTTAAATGCTCATTTTGGTCCCTCAACTCTATCAGTTTGCACATTTTTGGTCCCTAAAGTATTTTGTGCACATTTTTTTATCCTTTAACTCTAAAAAATGCACAACGTTTGTCATTCTATTAATTTGGGCCATTAACTCCGTCACGTGGCATTTTTTATATTTTTTTTTATGATATAGCGAAAACAACTTAAAAAGGTGATGATCTGAATTTTTTTTATGACATGTCCCACGTATACCAAATTAGATTAATATTTATATTTTTAATAAAAAATAAAAAACTACAAATTTACCTTAATACCCCTATCTCCCTTTCTTGATCCATCTTCTTCCCCTCTTTCGATCCATCTTCTTCCTTTCTTTCTTCCTCTGCCTCCTCTGTGTTGCGGGGTTCTCTCAAGTCCAGCTGATCTGGGTTCAAGAGAACCCAACTTGGGTTCGGTGGAACCCAAGCTGGGTTTCGTCAAACCCAAATTTGCTGGGTTCAAGGAACTTAGCGCTAGGTTCCGTCGAACCTAGAACCTAGATTTGCTGGGTTTGAGGAACCCAACAACTGGGTTCCACCAAACCCAGCTCCACTTTTTTTTTTTATTATATATTTGTTGCGAGAGTTTATGCAAATTGCAGGTTGTGAGGGATTTTTGGGATCCTTTTGGTTCATATTTTCTAACTATTGTCTAAATGATTTTAATGTTCAAAATGGCAAGAATATCGCCAGTGATGGAAAGAACAAAAGAAGTGACCAATGGGCAAAGAAGAAATTTTTAATGAGTTTCCATTTGATTGGCTAGAAAATTGTATAGTTTGGGAGTTTGGCTGTTGAGAAAATGGTTTCAATCTGTTTTGTTAAGAAATTATAGTTTAATGATGATTAATTAGTGAAATCTGTGAAAAATCTTTAGAATCCCAGCAAATGTAGGGTTTTGAGTGAACTTTAAAGGAGAACGAACAAGGTCCGTGGTTTTTGCAAGTAACGTGGGACTCATTGAAAGGGTTTTGGCACAAAAAAATGATATGTCATCAAAGAAAAGTCGTTGTTTTTTTCATGTCATCAAAAAAAATATAAAAAATGTCACGTGGCGGAATTAACGGTTCAAATTGACAAAATGACAAACATTGTATATTTTTTAGACTTGAGGGATCAAAAATATGGATAAAATACTTTAAATACCAAAAATATGCAAACCAATAAAGTTGAGAACCAAAATAAGCATTTAACCAAAACAGAAAAGGTGCTTCCACCATAAGAAAGCAGTACTTTGCAGGCGTGCAAATGAAGGAATTTCACTATTTCAGGCACTTTTAAGCAGTTGCAATGATGCTTCAGGCACTTTAAGAAGCACCAACCATGGGCCCACAAATATAGTATTGAGAAATACATTGCTCGAGCGAACTTTTTTGTGCTCGTAGATGGCCCACTTTTTTTTTTTTTTTGGGTTTTTCGTTCGGTATTTAGGAATTCATCTCGATTAATTTGGATCGACTTGCGTTGTGCACCTGAAAATCGTGGATGAGTTTCCTACTAAAAATTGCTGCGTACATAAAATTTCAAACTCAAAATCATATTTAAATTGAAACAAATCGCTTACCACTTGATTCAACCCCTCGTTGGTGTAGATGCCCACTTTGCAAGTGCTCATCTTGAGCGCCTATAAGCATGTACTTTATTGGCACTTAAAATTTTGAGCGTCTAAATTCAATTCTAATCTACATTTTTTACTGTTTTCTCATTTTTCGTATTAGTTCTCCCCAGATTTTTTTTATATCATACCGAATTTCAATTCATTTAAAACCTATTTAATATCAAAATACTCAAAATTAATCATATGTATTTATTCATATTTTCAATTAACCAAATATTTTCGATTAAACTGTCATCACCAAATTATATATGGTGACAGTGTGTTAAAAAAACCAAAACCAAGCATAAAAGTATAAATTGAGCCCTAGTAAAATATTAAAATTATGTTTGGAAACTTGAATTTGAATTTGATATGTGTAATTAAAATATATGTATTTAAAATATATGTAATTTAAATACATATAATTTAAAATACATTGTTTGAATTGAATAAAAAAA